TTCTACAATCTAATATGATAAAAAGTGAATAAATGATTGAAGATACATCACATACGAATGACCAAAAGCACATGAAAAATGCTTAATATTATTATCAGGAAATACAAATTTAAACCGCAATAAGATATCACTACATATCCAAAAGAATGGCTCAAAACTACTGACAATACTGAATATTGACAAGGATTAGAGTAATTACAGTTGATACACAATATTAGTAGGGATGTAAAATGATCCAATCAAGTTAGGAAAACAGTTCAGCAGTTTCTTATCATGTTAAATGTACACTTACCTTTTGATCCAGCAATTTCATTCCTCAACATTTACCCAAGGCAAATGAAAATATTTTTTCATGTAAAGACTTGTACATAAATGTTCATAGCAACTTGGTTCATAATAACTAAACACTAGAAACAATCTGAATTCCCATCAACAGGTAAATCAATGGACAAATTGTATTATATCAATATAAGAGAATATTACTCAATGATAAAAATGAATGAATTATTGATATACACAACAACATGGCTGAATCTCAAAAAACACACCACACGAAAAAAAGCCAGGTACAAAAGAGTGTATAGTGTATGATTCCATTTATATGAAACTCTAAGAAAGATATAACAAATATATAATGATGAAAAACAGATCCATTGTTGCTTAGGCAGGGTGGCAGCTGTGAATATTGACTGCGAAGGGACACAAGGGCATTCTTGGAAGGTGATGATTGTGGCAGCAGTTGTTTGGGTATATGCACTTGTCAAAACCACTAAACTTCACACTTGAACCAAATGCTTTTATTATATGTAAATTATATATCTCAATTACATCTTCAGTTTTAAAAACAAAATATATATTTATGTAACTTATTTTAAAAGTCCAGAAAGGTACACTCAAGATCCTAAAATAGTAGTATTTCAGAGGTAATATTCAAAACATTTAATGGTTGGGAATGATAAGTACCAACCAATCAGAACAAATGGTGGGCATGAACAAATGCAACAGCCAACCCATGTAAATGATGCTCCCTGAGTGGAGCATTGGCCCCAGGAAACAACAGATATCAATAGATGGTGGGATTATTGATGCTCTTTTCTTCTTTTTGCTCATTAGTATCTTCTAATTTTCTACCCATATTTTCAATCAGGTACTTTAAAATAAAGGGGAAAAATCTATCTTTCCTTATAAAAAAGAAAAATGGTACCCTGTTGATACCACATTTAACACTGTTATAAAATTCTAATGGGTCTCAAAATCCTAATGGAACTTTTAAATAATAGATACGAGAAATGGTATACTAAAACAGCATTGAATTAGGAGTTAAAAATGGATAATGCCATAAAAATACTTCTTATCCACCACAAAGAAAATAGTGACATATATTTTTAAACTATTTTACCATTTTAATATTTTAAAATGCCCTCCCTTTGATCCTATTCCAGCCAGATCTCCGTATAATTGATTATGTTTACTAAGAGACCTAGTATCTTTCCTCAAATAGCCCAGGCTCTGAAATGCCACATTGCTCAAAATTCATTATATAGTGTTTTCCTATGGGTATCTTGGCCTAGGTCAACCTTCAGAATCTGGCTAAGCAAGCCAAGAGATCAAACGATAATTATCAACCCTGGATAAATTTTTACAGCAAAATTACAGCCCATGATTGGAGAGTTGCTGCTGCCTTCTCTTAGCATAACTACCTCCATCTCTATGGCTTATCACAGCAACAACCCTTTGCTCTGGGCAATTTCTTTAGAGGTAAGCACAATAAAAACCTGTCTATAAGAGCAGTCGTTGAGATGCTATGATCAGCAAATAATGACCAGGGAGTCCATTTTATCATGTCTCTCTCTATCCACAGAGAAACCCTACAAGTTCCCCCATCAGCCCAGTAGAGAGTCAATAGCTGGTTTAGCAACATGACTCCTTTCTGATACTCTGAAAACCCCAGGATAAAATGATGCTACTGTACAATCTCCTAATGTTGTTTTACAATGCAGTTCAAATTTGTGATTTTAAAAGCACCTCAGCCCACTGTGAGTTCACAGTTATCTTTAATGATTTGCAAATCTCAGTGTTTTTAATGACTCATTTTTGTACTGTGGCTATGCTGGTAATACCTGCACCTAAGTAGTTATGGCTTATAATACCCTGGGCTGTCAGGGTGTGCAGTAAATGAGAAGCAGCAGCAGTATCTTCCACCTTTTCAAGTCTTAATTTACTCCTCCTCCATTTGAACATAAGCCTATGGAGCCTATAGAGTTGCTGTGTCATCTCTTGGAGCACACGCCATCTTGGCTCATGGGACCTCGGTCATCCATAGAGGCTGACCACCCTTCTCCTCCCCATGGAGAAAAACAAGAAGATGGCAGCTAGAGGCCACCAGGGTCTTTCCTTCTGGAAGCTCTGACTTCTGAAGGTGAAAGATCTGTCCCCAAATCACAGTTACAAAAATATATATATATACAGAACTTTTCATGAGGTACTCAATGTGGCATTTCCACAAGATATCCAACTATAAATCACATTACCAAATCTAACTTTATCCCAATATTATAGTGTTATCTGTTATTATTAGTATCATGTGACAATTCTTATTAATTTCAAAACATAAGTTATCACCATGTAATAATAATAATGGCAGATATTTACTGAACAGTTACTATGTGCCTGACATTGTTCTAATCTTATCCATGCATTAATTCATTTAATCCTTAAAACAAATTATTGTTATGATGAGCCAGAACTTGAACCCATCTATACCATAATACGATACATCAAGAATCACAGATCCCTTTTCCCTAGGGAAGTGAATTTCTCATAGGTTCACCAGGGTGGCTCAGTTGGTTAAGCGTCCAACTTCAGCTCAGGTCATGATCTCATGGTTTGTGAGTTCGAGCCCTGCGTCAGGCTCTGTACTGACAGCTCAGAGCTTGGAGTCTGCTTTGGATTCTGTGTCTCCCTCTCTTTCTGCCACTCCCCCACTCGTGTTCTTTCCCTCTCAAAAATAAATAAATATTTAAAAATTTTTATAAAAAAAAATGTGAACCTCTCATAGCCACCCAAGGACTCAGTAGGAGGTTGACAATAGATATATTTCAAAAGTCCCTGAATGGACTGGAAAATCTCCAGTGTTGTACATGTGTAATAACTGCCTTGCTTTACCTTACCTGCAGAAGTCTTTTGTCTAAACAAAATATGGCCCTGAGGTAAGATAACATCAGTGATTTTAAAAATGGAAATGGTCCCACCATGATTCTTTAGGTCTAAGGTGCTCTTGGCAAATTCTCTGGGGTACATTCTCATCCTCAACACTCCTATATGGTACACAAAGAGTTGATGACCACACCTCATCATAGAGTCACCGTCTACAGTGGAGGGTGATTTCCATCTGCCATTTTTCTCTTGGGACCCTGTGGGAAAAGCAAGAGAGGATGGCACTGCCTCACCCACTCCCACTTCCCACCCCCAGCCCTTAGCATTTTCACTGCTGATAGTCAGCAACTGCCCTTTCTGTCTCAGGGCTGCCCCCAGGCTGCTGGACCCTGCTGTGCTGCAGGCAGAAGAACCCTTCCAAAGCAGTCCTTGACCAAAGACTGACAGCATAAGGGTTATAAATACTCAGCTGCCTTCCCCTGAAGGGGACAACTCTGAGATCTCTTTACATTGTCTCCAGAGCCCCCTGTGAAATGTAGCCAGTCTCCCACCATGGAACCTGACTTCAAATTGCACCTAGCTTGATTCCCTTCCCTTCTCAGACCCACTTCCCCACTATTAGTGGATTTCCTGGGATCACTTCGTGATAAATCACTTCATGGCCATAACTGCCTTGGGTCTGCTTCTGGTGGTGAACTGAGGACATGTAGACAATCCCTCTAAAATCCCACCTCTCTGTATAATCTGAACAAGCATCCTGGAGTCATTAAGTTTCCTGCTCCCTGCAGTGGGGACCTTGGTCCCATAGCACAAATGGAATGATCCACTTGTAATGTCCTTGCTTAACCCTGATCTGCTTACTCCTCTATAATTTCAAAGATCACGGAGGTCAAGTTCTTGTGAGGGGGATGACCACAATGTCCTCACATAATATTACTGAATCAGCACCCTTAATGAGGAGACTTTGAACTGACGTCCAAGTAATTGAGGCTTCAACAGAAAGAAAACACAATGGATTCAATGACTCCAAATGTTGGCATGCAGCCTGAAAGCCAAACAGATCCCGGTCCTATATAATTCTGTTCTCCAAGTAGGAGGTCTAAGAAACGCAAGGTCTTCAGAGGATACCAGCCCAAACCCCTCATTTTAAAGTCTTGGTTCCTCTGAATCAAATCCTATGTTAAACATTTCTCACAGTAGTTTTAAACTTTAATTACATACTCTACCAAAGCAAAGATCAAAATCTCTACAAAGGTTCTTTTTTATTTTTTATGATGAAGTATTTATTAGTATGTCTCTTTGGAATAGATTTTCATACCCCAGGCCTGAAAAGAAATTCCACATAGAAATCATTCTCAAAACACTTTTTAAATACTTGAGAGTTTGTCCTTGTTTCTCACCTCATGCAATGACTTGTTAATGAGGAATAATTAAAATAGATTCTTATTAAAAAGAAATGCACTGCATTTCAAAAATATTTTTTAAATGTAAAACCTATACAGCAATGTTTATAATAGAGAAATTCAGATCCAAAGTTTCATCTATACAGAGTGTCTAGACATAGGGTGCATTTCAAATCAATCAACAAAAGATCTGCTTTATGCAATGTGTCAGCCTAATTGAATGATATAATTACAATCTGTTAATATCCATGTGGACCAAGAAGAATGTCACCACTCTTTTATGTACATGACGATGATGGTTTTGCATTTCTTTCCATCCTGGAATTTGAACACTGATTTCTCTAAATATTTGTGATCCAAGGGATTTGAAAAAGATTCCTCCAAAACGTTTCAAAGAGAATTTCATGAGCTGCTCTACTGGACCCAGGCAGGAGCTTCAGGTTAGGACTTCACTTTGGATGGCCTGTAGAGGGGAAATCCACCCCCAGTAAAACGAGGGCCGGTTGGCTTGGCCATTGAGAGGGTGTTATCCATGGATATTCTGTCCTTATTTCTGTAAGAGAGGAGGTGAAAGTTAACTTCCTTACCATCTTTTTTCCTCTTTCTAAGTTTGGTGTTCTCTAAGTTCCCTGGGTGAGTTAGCCATTGAAATCTGCTTTGATTAAAGCTTCCAGTTTTAGACAAAGTGGTTGTTTAAATCTAATTAGGTGTTCGCTGATAACACATAAAATTAGGGAAAGACACAATTAAACGTGCCCTCCTAATGTTGATCTAAATGTGGACATAAGACCTCATTATAACTCAATTATGGACTTGAGACTTCCGACTTGTAATCATCTTCCTGTTTTATAAAACATCTGTTTAGTTCCAAAGATTCATCAGAAGAATCTTTCTCTTGGCTCAGTTATAATGACGAATTCATCATTTATCAACTTTTCTATTTCAAATTTTCAGTGGAAACATAAATATTTACCACACGCGTAAGGTATCTTCATCAAACTTGGACATTTATAAAATACAACTTTTACTATAACTTTAGACAAGTAGAAGTTATTATTAGAAATAGTTTAAGATACAAGAAAATCTGAGAAAGATAAATAAGATAGTACATTGGGCAACAGATAAAGGGAGTCCTGCCCTAAAATCTATAATGTATCTTCTACATAGATATCCTTTAAATACACACACATACACACACATTCACACGTGTACACACACACACACACACACACACACTCAAGTTTCCTGCAGAGGTACCTTAAATTTATACAAATTCCCTATTGTGAATTCAGGGGTCTTACAGAAAACATCTTTGGAACCCCTTTTTAAAAATAAAAGTTAAGCTAATAACTAAGACCAAAACCAATTAGATTTGACAACTGGAAGTGATTTACCTCAGAGGAGAGAATTCCACCTTTTGGGAGAGAATCTGACTAGTTCTACAAACTCTAGACCAGCCTGGGGTTCCAGGACAGGAGAGTCAGAGGCAGGTGGGTGGGGGTGCAGGTCAGGATGGAAACATGATGAAAAGGGTGTTTGAGAAAAATGAAAGAAGGCATAAATGCAAAAGTGGCATGAGTTGCTATTTTATAAAGAGCAAGTGTGGGGAGAACGTCCACAGAGATTATTCTAAATTATTCCATTTGGAAAGAACCTGAAGAAGATTGGCTAATCAATCCAGCAGTTTCTTAGCAGAATTGATTTCATTATTATTAAAAAAAAAAAAAAAAAAACCATCCTCCATAAATAGGACAAAAGCTTTAGCCTTGAATGGATCCAGTTAAGAGGATTCCTTCAAGTGCTTGGCAACTTGTCTACCCCCTGACTACCAGTAGATGCAGCAAGCACCACCTCCTCCAGCCCTCTCTTGCCTTAAATAACCTAAGTTTTCCTCTCTGAAGTAACTTAAGCATAATGCTTCTGGCTTGCTCTAAGCTGACTGATGGGAATGATGTCTCCTTTATATTGCCTTTGTAATGCATTTACAGACCACCACAATGGCTCCCTCAGCCTTCTCCCTTCCAGTCCACACCATCTCAGCACTCTTGTTCTTGCCTCAGTAAACTTTAATTCAGCCCTTGAATCCTTTTGCTCTTCTCCTATGAACCCCTCTCTCTGTCTACTTCCAGTTTATGGATCCCCAACTAAATGTAATTGCCAATGGCACCCTAACCAGGGCAGAATGGCTACAAGTGAGCAATTTAGGGAAAGGAGAGGACAGGTAAAGACAAAGATTCTACAGCCGTGCTACCCAATAGAAGTTTCCACCATGATGGAAAAACTCTCTATCTAGAGCCTGATGTGGCATCCACTACCTCCATGTGTCTATTTAGCAGTTGAAATGTGACTAGTGCAACTAAGGAACTGAATTTTTAATTTGATTTAACTGTAGTTCATTTTTAATTAAATACCTACAAAAGACCTATGGCTGGGGGCCATGCAATTTTAGTAGATGTGCCAATGGGAGGGACTGAGCCAACAGAATGGCATTTCCATGGGCTCAACACACTGTCAGTGTCCAGAAAACTATGGGTGGAAGGGGATCAATAAGGTCAAAGGTGACTAGGCCAAACTGCAGGACCAAGGTAGGGAAGTTGGTCAGCTCTAGAAAGATAACTAACTGTTTAGCTAAGTGAGCTATTTGTAACTGTGTATACTAGACTGCTGGTCTCCAAAATAGATGCATGTACTCTCAAAAATGAGTAAGATGACCCACTGGGAAGTGCCAAGAAGGTATTTCAGATTCTGCCCATATTTTGTCTTTAAAAATTAAAAACAAAATCTCAGTTTACTAATATTTACTCACAATGTCATAATAGTATTTTGCATGTGATATACAAATGAAGGACTCCTGGGTGGCTCAGTCAGTTAAGCGTCTGACTCTTGACTTCAGCTCAGGTCATGATCTCACAGTTCATGAGACGGAGTCCCCCACGTCAGGCTCTGTGTTGACAGAGCGGAGTCTGCTTGGGATTCTCTCTCTCCCTCTATCTCTGCCCCTCCCTCACTCACACTTTCTCCCTCCCTCTCTCTCTCCTCTCTCTCTCTAAAGTAAATAAATAAACACTTTTTAAAAATTAAAATAATAGGGGTGCCTGCGTGGCTCAGTTGGCTAAGCGTCCAATTCTTGGATTTCAGCTCAGGTCATACTCTCTCAGTTCATGGGTCCCAAGCCCTGCTTGGGATTCTCTGTCTCCCCTCTCTCTGCCTCTCTCTCAAAATTAAATAAATAAACATTAAAAATTAAAATATATTGGAGATATAAAACCATTCTAAAATAAAATTTTGTTTTAAAACTTAACATAAATATATATTTAATATATATGCATATATTGGGGGGGTGCTACGAGTTCAAAAGTGTTTTACTGATAAGAGTGTGCACTAGAAATGCTTGAAGACCACTGAGCTGGATGCATGCCTCACACAGGAACTAGCCATGTTGACATCTTACCAGCTCAACCTTGCTGTCCTAAAATAAAACCAGTGTCTCCACTCCAACATTGAGTCACATCATTAATATCAGTGCTTCTCCAGCTTAGATGTGCATGGACATCACCTGAGGACTGATGTTACTGCACATTTCTAAGGCTCATCCAGAGCCTGCTGAATCCAAACATCAGGAAATGGGGCCTGGGAACCTGAATGTTTAATAAATCCCACCAGTGATTCTGTATCGGGTAGTTGCTAGACCCTACATTAAGACAGACCCATAGGAATTAGCTCAAATTTTTAGCAGGATTTTATTCTACCAAGGAGTTGGCATCTGAATGTGGAACAGGGGAATATTCTGATTTACCAGAAGGGCAAATTTTTACTGGCAAATCAATTTGCATCCAGTTACTTTAAATAGCTGCCACTAATGAATCATAGGCGGATGTACCTCTTTCCCCACGTCCCTGCAATGCCCACATGAATGAAACACCAAACTTGGCTTAAACCCACAATGTGAGTACTACAGAATTAACTAGATGAATTGGGTAATGCCACTCAGCCAAACCAAGGTTCAAATCTATTGATTCATCCAAGTCCACTCTCTCACCCTAGCATTAGGCAAATGATGAAAACAAAGTGAAAAGAACATTTACTCTTCCACATGCAGGCATCCTGAAACCCAAAATGTTAACCTGAGATCGCATTATCATCTCCTAGAAAAATAAGAGCTCACGTCAATACCCCCAGCAGATAATGAAGTCAGTTATTAGACATAAAGATGGTTCAGAGCTAGATTATCTAAAACATAGGTAAAAGTTATTCATGGGCTCATCATTACCATGGCACAAAATGCATTTAAAATCACCTGTGGTTTTAAGTGTGGACATGCTTTTAGTTTGTACAAGCCTGGCCGTGAACCTCATTTGCAAACATTGTCATGGCATAATTATCTCCAAACCATAAGAACAGTGGGGCAGTGGGGGGGGGGGGGGGGGGGGGGGGCAGGGAAGACTACATACATTTCCTCTGCTCCATGTTCGGTCCATCGGTGAGCAGATATTAATGGATCCCTGTTAGGGTCCTAAGGAGAGGCCTCAGTATCAAATGAGACATGCATCTTGCCCTGACACAAACCAGGGGGGGACCTGTAAAATGTCATTTGTTCACCCTGTGACCGACTTTAGACCAGTGGATTCTGTGACTCCATGACCGTCTGCCAATTATTTTCTTAGCAGGTAATAGGCACAACAAAATTAGAATAACATTTGACTAATTCTTACTTCTGAGTGTATTCTTTACGTTTCTGAGCTAGGTATTTCTTCTTTAAGTTCATCAGTTCATTGGTAAGTTTCTCGATTTCATATTTATATTCTTGGCTCTGTGATTCGTACATATTCAGCTCTGAAGACAAAACCTAATGTGACAAATGACAGCAGCATTAACAAAAGATATGCAGTGAGACAATATCCTTTCCTGAACATTTTTCCTAATCTGCTGCCATTTACCTCACTGAGGCTAGTGTTACAAAACCATGCCCAAGTCTAACAGCTAATCCTCGCCCTTCCGCCAGCTCTCAAGATCTGCACCAAGGTAAAAATCCGACTGAGGTCTGAAGTCTCATAATCCAGTGACAAACTTAACAAAACCTCTGCTTAAGAGAAGTATCAGGCCACATTCAACGAGGCTCACACATGAATGGTGTAATGTGTTTCAAGAATATGGTGAGTAGAGACAGAAAAACTCCCAGGCATACAGGATAAAATTGCTTTTAAAGCCTTTTTAAAAAGCATTCAGAGAAGTCATCACTAGGGACAGTGATTCATTTGAGGATTATGGTAAAAAATTATTCTGGAATCATCCTGCCACCACCACCACTAAGTAGGCATTCAATTTCTGTGTTTTCCTAGGTTGCTGTTCTGCTAAATGTCTATCACCTCTTTACTGTGCTCTTTGGGACTCTTCACAGGTTCCTTCTTTCTCCAGGCACAGTAACGCTTTCCCCTGATAAGCAGGGAGCTATGATATGAACGCAAGAGAGTCCAGGGAATGTGTAATAGGAACCCTGATTACCTGCCTCTTCCACTGTGGTGTTCAATAGATGCTGCTGGTCTTGGCTGGGCAAGAAGGGTGGGCATTTACTCACCTGACCAGAATATGTAAAGCATTCCCAAGCTAGGGGCACACCTCACAGAAATCAAACGGAAGAAAGGAAGGTTACCATTCTAAGGGGCGTGCAACAGACTTAGACCTACTTTTTCCTCTTGCTCACTATTTTAAAAATTTGCACAAAAGGAGGATCTTTGTCCTTTGAGTGTTTACCTGCTTCTGAACTCTTTCCTTTAATCTCTATGAAAATGATTCTGATTATGTTATCATGAGCTAAAGAGTAAGACTTTCATGTTGGGAGAAAATCTGCCTAATAGTTAAGCAATTAGGAACCAAGGTTCTGTTTCCAAACAATGAATAATAGCATTTCCTAAAAGAGTCCAGATAATGAGGACAAACTAGCAGACAGGCTCAGTACCACCACCTCTGAACCTCTTCCACCAGGGGTCATATTTCCTCAGAGCAAAAAAAATCTAGATTTCCTGAGTTAAATGGTTAAAAATACCAAAAAGCTCCTGTGAGTCATATAATGCTACCCAGTGCTAAGTGTGGCTATCTGACAGTGGCATAAAGACAGACCTGTGAGAAAATGAGCTTTTATTTTATTTGGAATACTCAATTGTTGAGAAGGGTGAAAATGATCAAAAGATTATGCCTCATGCAAAACTCAAACTACGTCTCGGGATACTCGTGTGAAATACTGTGAGTGAGAAGTTGAAAATTAATGTTCTAATTACACTTCTGTTTCATCTGCCTTTTTAAAGAAGAAGGATGTGCTTGTAAAACGTGCTACTTGTGAAGGGATTAGCACTATAGTAGTCGATTTTACCCCAGGCAGAAAGGCAACGATCATCGCCCTTGTCACGCAGGTAAGTTCCAGAATTCAGCTGGTGTGTGCTACATTCTGTGCATGCGTGTGTATAAGACTTCCCTGACGTGCCAAGAATATCTAAGTACTTGTTTGGGAGGTAAAGCTCCAAATATAATGGGAACACACAGTTTCTGAGAAAACTTTTTAAAAAGCACGTGTAATAATAAAACATTCCATCTCCCCAGCTGACATTCTTAAGTCGCCGAGAAGGGAAATTATGCTAACAGAATTCTAAAATGATTTTACTTTCCTTTCATAGCAACTTATTTGAGAGATGGTCATGAAGGAGGGCCCTGGGGGCTGGGCAGTAACCCGTGCTTTCTGTACATTTATTTCAGGTGGAATGGAATTGCAAAAACCTGCTTTGGCACAGTGGTCTGCTTCGGTGGATGATGGTGTTAAAATATTTCCTCTGCTCTTCCCCACCAACCACATCCTCTACCTCATCTTGAGGTGGTCCCTACACACCCCATCCCCCGAATTTCCATTCTGTCGCCATCACCCTCTCTCCAGCTCTTTCCTTACTCGCTCACCACCCCCTTTCAGGAAACAGAGAATTGTGAGGTCTATTAGTCTACATGCTGGGTGGGGGGGTAGCTCTGAGATGTGCCCTGCTCCTCCTGGGACTGGAATTCTAAAAGAAAAAAAA